CCCCCCCCCCCCCCGGCGTATTTTAACCTTAAGATCAAGTAATGATCGACACTCGAGTGCAGCCATCCTTGGTGTCCGATATTCTTCGCAGTCAATGGTTTAGATCCGGTCTCTAAGTTGTGTTATTTCATGTTCCAAAAGAATTCTTTATCGTATTAAAGCCATTAGATTTGCTTCATGGATCTAGTGGAATTAATGGGCAATCATGATTGTTCCTTCAACGCTTCAGCTGAAGGAAATCGTGCAAGACAAACGACGTATCTTGATATTGACTGTTCTGGCTTGTGCGTGCATGATTTGATCGATTTCCTAACCATCAAAACGATGTCTTACGATATATTCAGTAAAACGCATGCTTGAATTTGTGCATGCGCAAGAATTGTTAGTATCATTTTGTGATAATTAAGACGTCACTGAATAATCCAATTAAATAGCTGCAACTTAGCCCTTCACAAAAACTGGACGAGAATTATGAGTTTGCTTGGGAGTTGATGAAAGGTGACTGGACACGTACCCGTAAAAACTCATTTCAATTCTCATGAATGTGAACGATATCAAACTTAATAATGAGACTTGACGCGAGTGCGCGCATGCATGAGAGTTGATGAGAGTTTTGCCTGGGGACCCAAACTGATGAAATGTCAACATCATGAAACAATGTTGGTTTAACCTCTTTTAACATTCAAATAGTTTGAATAAGATCGTAAGAGTTATCCAAATTGAAAATCTGCGTTTTAAAATATTTGGAAAAGAAACGGTATTGTTCAAAATTGTTGAATGGTATCGATCAAGCAAACATAGTTGCATCGGCTTAAACAAGGCTTTAGGTATAGCTAGCATACTGGACCGATTTCACGTTTCACTGCAACAGTCTATGCGATGGTTCGATTCTCGTAGGTCCAAATCCATCTGAATCTGTGAATAATTTGGACCTACGAGAATCGAACCATCAAGATATGAGCGTAAAAGCGCACAAGTTGTAACAAACTGCAGCAGACTTGTAGCAACGCTGTTCCTGTTCGCACCGCTTGTTCCCATCTTGTTGCAAGGTTGTCGAGCTCAACAGACTTGTTACACGTTTATTGTTCCAACAACTTGTTATATATCGTCCCGCAATTCAACAATTTGTCAAAGGTTATGAGTGTCAACCTTGTAGCAACTTGATGAAATAACAACATTGTTACAACTTGTTGACATGCTTGCTACAAGCCTGTTGCGAACACATTTTGTTGATAAATTGTGAGATTTTTACGTTTGCAGATCGAAGTTATAATAAGCTACTTGGATTTCTACAGCCCCCGCTTGTTGCTTCCATTTCCCCCGGCACCTCACACGCATCGACCAAAATTGTTCGGCCAATTTCTAGGACTCAGTTGGGGCACAGAGGAGAGATGTATCTCTCTCCTTTGGTTAGGGTCCATTAACAAGTTTTTTCCACGACAGTACTCGTTGCAAGTCATGCAGAGATAGGTAAATATAGTTTGGTAGACCCCTTTGCAGGCGATCTTTGCGGTGAGAGGATCTAGAGTGTTCTACCGGGCAATGCGATATTCTCCTGCTGGGAAAATGACAGGCTGGTTGTGATGTGTGGTTTGTATTATATTCATTGATGCAATAGTCAATATACTTTAATCCAAACACGTACGGATGACTGGACATAGACACTGATCAAATTCTTTGGAACATTCGATGTCACGCGGCTGTGATTTTTATACGCGACCATGGCTAAGCTCAAAACGCGTTCTATATGCATGAGTATGAATATATAGTATATGGCCAAAACCTGAGAGTGACTACTGGTATTTTCAGGGTCTTCATCGAAAGCTTTGGGAAATATGGCCTTTCACCACATTCCTTTTTTTTCAAGAACACCCCCTATCATATGAACCTAATGAAGTATTAAGACTCTTCATATGATAGGGGGTACTAGGCTTGCGGAAAAAAAGGAATGTGGTGAAAGGCCATATTTCCTAAAGCTTTCGATTTGTAGAGGACTCATGTAACAATATTCAATAAACAAATAAAATTAAAAGACTGAAGTTTTACTGCTTTAGCAGATACATAATGGCATAATATGCAAACTACCGCGTGAATCAGTTATGGGAAATTATTGCCTTTGTTGGGCTTGTTGGTATATTTATACACTGAATAAGTAATTATTGTAGCATATCTTTGTAACAAATTATGTTTCACTGGTACGTAAACTGGACACAGCAATCGCAGGTTCGATTCGTGCCAGATCCAGAGGGCCGATATAGTTGCATAGTTCGCAACGCTCCTGGTTATAGGTCTAATACTGAAAATATCACTAGTACTCCGAAATTTCCAGCTACAAATCTCAAAAAACTACTATATTGAATGATGAGATGCCCACAATCCTGAGAGTTTCACGATTGTTATAGTCGGTAAAAACATCAAAACTTAGATGACAAACTCTGGTGGTATTTCGATATCTTGCAAGATTGATGATGATGCACGCTCGATGCTTCGGTGATTTGCGGTTTTATGCTTGACGAGGCAAATTGTCAAAGCATCGAATAGCACTGCAACGGTCAGATGTCAGATGAGAAAATATTCGTCAATGCTAAAAGTTAAAATTTTAATAAATTCCACTGTACACTGAGTGGCTAGTGCCTAGTGCCTAGTGGAGCCGGGCCGCGGTGTTCTCGAAATCATTAAAATCATCTGCATGCGGTTTCGCTTTATCTATTTTTTAAAAGTATCTGTATGTAAGCTTAGCGCGGAAGCCGTTACTTAAGTCTGGAATTATCGATTTGCGGTTTTATACTTGACGAGACTATGTGCAAATGATAGGGCAACGACACATTCGGAAAGTGCATTACTGGCCATTACTGTAAACTGTTTCTTTGAAACCTCGGGAATAGGTTGGACGATGGGTGGGCATTCATTCGGGGAATATAAGGGAGCATTCATTTTTTAGCTGGGGGGGGTGGGCCGGAGGAATTGATGTCTAATTCCATGCGAAAACTTGGAACCCCCAAGACAAAAGTTGATAAAAAATTATGACCCCCTATTTTTTTTACTGAAAATTTTTTGACTCCTCATCCCAACTATTAATCCACACGGTGTCGTTTCCATAGCGTTTCAGGGCCGTAGGAAGCTCTTTTTGATTGGGGGGCTGAAAGCGAGGGCTGAAAGCGAGGGCCGAAGGCCCGAGGAAATTTTTAAATCTAGAGTCTCTGAAATGCCATTTCCTGGCCTTTGGGGGAAGATTTGACAGAATTTTGATGGTCAGAAAACAGCGTTTTAGTATGTCAAAATTGACAATTTGGTAGGCTAAATGGGCGAAGGCGTATTTAATTTACTATATATTGGATAACTAGGATAAGTTGCAGGAAACTGTGGGTACTATCTTCATTCTTTGCAGTTTGTCATGGATAATGTAGCCGCTTAAAATTAATAAAGCTTAATAAAATTGATCAAGGTCTGCATGATTTTGAAGTCATGCAGACCTTGAAATCATGCATGATTTTGAAATCATGCTACGGTCCTGCGTTTTCTTTCATTGATGTTTTCACACAAAAACGGATAAAAACGAGGTCAATTGACAAACGTCATGGAAATGTTTTCCTATGGACTGTGTGAACAGAGCGTCAAATGAATTTTGCTTCATTGTTATAGATGACGAGATAGTTGATAGATTCTAGACCTTTTTACCATTCTTGATCCAAATATTTCCAAATTCAATAAAATCATATTGGTGATTTTTTCACTGATTATTTTTATGACCCCCTCCGTTTATAACAAAACTATAAAAAGACCCACCCCTTTGAAGCATGTCAAAATTGGCTGACCCACCCCCAAATTCCTCCGGCCCACCCACCCCCAGCTAAAAAATGAATGCTCCCTAATCTACCGCAAAGTTGTCCAAACAATTCTAAACCAACGATCGCAGCGGGGTCAGATTTTCTAGTGTCAAAGCCGTCTTGTAAAAAGCTCTGAAGCACTCAATACATTCGACGATTTGCTCATGCCAGCTCGACAAAACGTCACAAGAGTCAAAGCAGAAAGGCTGTTCAGTTTCTTGTCTAAACGATGAAGTGAAACCATGGTTAGGCATTCATGTAAGACTTTAAGTAAACTGGCCCGGCTGCAAATCGTCCAAATCTGGCTGGCTATTGGCTGCATTTCTTTGCTGAGACTGGTCAGAATTATTAGCGCAGAAAAATATATTCACCTTGCACAAAATTTGCATTTTTCCGTTCCATTAGCGAAGCGTCACAAAGAATTTTTTAGACTTTAGGCCCTTTAGTACTAGTCGCAGTCTTGCAGACTACTATAAATCTATAAGAAAAGCAAGTTCTTCATTTAGTTTATTGAATGAAAGCTAAAATCTTTCGAAAAACGATTCAATAATACAAGGATATTGGACATTATTACGATGTTATATAGTGAGCGTAATTACATGCATAATTATGCAATATCAATGAGGCGTGATAATAGGGCATACTTGAATTATTGATATACTTGACAGGTCATTTACTCCCAGCGCTCCTTACGTATACATTGTGGACTTTGGTTCAGTGTTTTGAAGAACTTCAAGTCTTGTCAAGAAAATGGTCGACGTTCGTTCTTTGAGCGCTTTTGTCCTCCTCGCATTTGCCTTCTTTCTGTCGTTTAGTGTGGTAAGTTTATATCATTCGGTTAAATTGTTACATAATAGAACGATGTCAAAGTGCGCGTAAATAAATATACAGCTCATATGCGAGTTGTGTATGGAATTTTGTTGTTTAAAACTGACTTCAAGCATGCCTAATTCACTGATGAATTCAAGATGTGTATTGGGTTGTCCGCATTGTCGAACAGTCTCATAGATTGTTGATTTAACCTACTAGGATTACTAAAGCTCAATTTAGCTCATCTATTGTCAATCTACACATTTTAAAATGGCCATTGAACTACTATAAAATGTATAAGGCGTACAAGAGCGAATTTGTTCGAACAAGCTTGTAGCTGCAGAGTATTCATAAATCATATAATAGCTTTGTCCGTAGCGCTTTGTCTTGTTCTGTGGCCAGCGAATTGAAAAGAAATTGCTTCAATGATCCTTAGACGATTTCCGGAGCTTCGAATTATTGGATTATTCTAGATTATTCTAGCAAAGGAATAAGGCTTGGCAAACAAAAAAATGTAGAATATTTTGACAGCGTTTACAAGCGATACAGGGCCTCTTAGCCATATCACACGTTTGGAAGCACTTGTGCATGATTCCAATGTAAAATGCGGTTCATTTTATCTGATTTTATTGAAGGAGTTGTGTACATGGTTCAACGACGCGTAAGATATTGAATTTAGGCACTTACTTACACACGTTGGCTTTCAAGTGTGTTAATAAAGCCATACACTACTTCAGGTTGCTGTACTCTTATAAAAATGGAATATTAAAATATTTTCAAGTTCAAAAATAACATTTTCGAAGCTGTTACGAACTGCAAATCGCGGCATTTTGAAGCAACAGAGCATAACATTTAATTGTTGGGTTGTTATGGTCATGATGTGGCAATTAATTAATAGCAGCAGCAGTTCTTTGTTTGTTAACAGGGGGGAGAGGTGAAAAGCTCAATTTTTTCCTCCTTGTTTGACTACAGCAAAATAATACTATTCCCCATTCAAAGATTTATTGAAATTTTATTAAACTTCATTGAAAGTTGCACAGTGGATTGGAAGTTACATGTAGCTCAAATATGGTGATTTGTTAAATAAATCCCAATAAAAATTTGTTAATCCTAATAAAAATATCTTGTATGAAATATTCTGCAATATTTCGTGGAATATGCAACACACTGATTGCATTGCCAAGAGTTCTGGAAGGAGGGGCTCGTTGTTGCACCACCGAAATTCAGGAAGTTTAACACGTAAAGTTGAATTGCCAGTTGAAAGCATGATCGAGCTTGAAAAATCACGAAATTTTCAAACTGATTCAAACAATAATTGAGACTGTAATTAAAAGTGGTAAAATTTTTCAGTGCTTTATAATAAATTGAACCCAGAGACCCTCAAACTGATTGTCTGTAGTTCATTACTGCAGTAGTTTTATGCCTCAGGATTAAAAAAACTCTGTAAATTGTGTGTCAAGTTGCCTGTCATTTCTCCAGCCAATCAAGGTAATGACAGGGTATATTATAGTTGCTGTAATATACAGACTTTTGGGTATTCAAAATAGAATTTTGCCATACAGATGTACTGTATATAGTAATTTGTAAAAAATGCCACCGGCATGTGACATCTGACTCTTTACTGACTAGGTAATATGTTAAAATACTATTTGTTTATGGAATAGTTTTTGTAGTTTTTCAAATGAAAACATTACATATTTTAGACCTATAGTTATTAACTTAATAGAGCTGGTGTGAAAAATGGCAACTATGACTAGCTAGCGAGCTGCAGTGCAATTGCAATGCACTGAGCTTACAGTCAGTCTTAGTTGCCAAGAGCTGACAACAACTTAATGTCGATGGTGATCAATGCCATTTGGGCACAGAATAGGAAGGTATAGCAGAAGCGTAACTCAAGCAAGTATTTGTCTGCGTTTTTACAAGCAATTCATCATCAATCACGCCATCCTGGCTAGTACAACCGGCACTTTGTACCTACCAAAACCTGATAAAAACTTCTGGTTGTACTAGCCAGGATGGCGTGGCCTGGCGTGAGCGGGTTAAAATTTTCGTGGATGTAAAAAAACAAAGGAGTGAGACTTCTGCTATACCTTCCTTTTCCGTGATTTGGGGCCCTCCATTAATAGTACGTATGCATGGGAGGGGGGCACTAGGGGATATAATTGATGCATACAGACATTTGGTTACAAGAGGGGGAGGGATTGAACCATTTGTTCATACATATGTTACAGTATGCAAATTTATTTTTCAAACCTTGTATACTTAATAAATAATTAGTGTATTATATTTATTTTGATATTATTATGTAGAGTGCAGAAGGTTTTGGTAACTCAACCACAAATATAACCACAAATATAACAAATGGTTCCGAGCCGGAAATATATGATAAATGTAAGGAAGAGAGATTTACCAGATACCCATGTTCAAGTACTGTAAGTATTACCATTACAAGACTATAATAAATGAGTTAGTAATATTAATTAATAAGAAAATTCTGATTTGGTTGATCATTGACAGCAATGACTCTAATGTTTTGTATAATTATATTCATTTGACATTGAATATAAATAGTCGAAGAGTGTAAAAGTTTAAACTGGGTTGCTATATCTGTTGGTGCTCGATCAAGAGTATATTAGTATTTTGTACTGCAGATAGTCCCATTAACCGGCCATTGAGCACCATGCATATAGCTGATAAAAGTTGACATTCAACAAACAGTTGATTTAAACCACTGGCTCAGAGTCACTGTGCACTGCACAAAGTTTCAAAGTGACGGTGCTATAAATCAATACATTGTGTTTCCGAAAGATCATCTCAAATGAAAAAATCCACAGATTGAGTATGTCCGGACTATTACTGTAGTAATACCCACTTAGAGGGCCAGCTGAGTGCTCTTCCCTAATCAGAAAAGTAAAATTGTCAGGCCTTAATTAGACAGAGTAAAATAATAAAGTGGGGTGTGCAATGTGACTCAATGGACTTATAAGGCTCGTAACAAATGTTGTATCAAAAGTTTTGTGATCGACCCATATAAGTACATCATTCTCATAGTGTTGGTATTTAATATTTTATAGATAATTGGCAATATTCTCCTTATTGTTTTCTATGGTGCATTGCTTATGGTTGCAGCAAAATTGATTTCAGGTATTCAAGAAGAGGATCGATTCACTGATTTCATTCCAGTTTTGTGGCAAGATTTGTCCCAGAATGATACTGCTAGCTAGCTACATAAGGCCTAAAAAAAACAACCTGTGGTTCCGATTTCATATATAACGTATATAACGTATACTCAAATTGTCTTCCAGTGTGAAGAAAATAATGTCATTTCTGAGACCCTAGATTTTGTTGGTATCCATTGGGAGGATCAGCCCCTTTGCCCCTTGTACAGTTCAGCTTATAATGGTACTGGGTGCAGATTGAGAATGTTATTTAAAGTACAAGATGTACAGGACAATTAGAATAAGTGTAATCCAGCTGATTGCATGTCCGAGACGTTTGATTGAAATCATGGAAATCAGTTTTCAACTGTCAATATACCTGACCCCTATGATCTCTGATAATGAAAAGTCACTAGGACAGACCCCAAAGTTATTCATATACAATGTAACTGCATGTAATGCACTAATGTGCTGATTGAGTCCGCAAACGTTCTGGGAATGAGCTGGAAGCTTCGACCCTTCATTCCACCAGATTCTCTCCAATTTCCCCATGTGCATGAAATACTAACTGACTCCTTCATTCAATTGTAAACATGCAAGTATTGTTTGTGGTGAACTTAAAAGTCTTTTTTGTTTACTAGATGGTGCTGAACTGTTGCTTGATCTTGGATTACCTCCAGGAATCATTGGTAAAGAAGAATATTTTGTATATAATATGACTGTTTATGCAGTTTTACTCAAGGCCATCGGAATAATTTCCATTTGTATAAGCAAAACACACAAAAGAACTATTGATTTACTTCCGACGGCCTTGTTACGTAATGATTGAGTCAGTTCAGAATTAACCCAATAAAAAAGTGGGTGCATACTGTATGGAAGTAATTATGCAGCTTGGGAGATGTTTTATATCCTAATAACACCTTTAAATTAAGGCCATTCAAGCCCCATGTATCTGACCACGCCCATGAAACTGGGTATCACCAGCAGCCAACAGTACAGAGTGTACTTTTTGAATAGCTAGTTTTACATCATATGGCTCAAAAGGCTGATATTGACATTTATATAGTCATTTAATGCCAATATGCTATTGTTTAGATCCTTTAAATCAAGTTTAAAACAGGCAGACTACATCACTGGTGCACAAGACTTAACAAATGAAACTGTTTGGCATTAGACAGAGTAAAGGGCAAATTGCGGCTTGATGGGTTAGCAAGGCACATTAATGGCAGATGGTTAATGGACTAATATCTGGAGTTACAGTTAAGACAGAATAAAAAATAATAGAGTCACTACAGGTGCATTTAGGCACATTGCACTATTGCAGCTTATTATGGGTATCTGGGAATTCGCCTGGATGGCTGCATGTCATAAGTTTATGCTACATAACGTTTTAACCATTAATATTCACTGTGCACCAGCAGTAAATCAGTCCAATGCACATACTACAGTATACCTCTCTTAATTACTCTATACAAGCTGTCTTATGCAAGACCACTTTGCTTTCTCTCTCTCTTTAATTTAATTAATGTCTCCATGATCAGGTTACTTAAATGGTCATGAGAATGCTTTCAAGCACTGAGATATTGGATTATACAGTACTGTAAGTTGAAATATTGTTATTTTATGTTAGGTGGTATTGTTTTGCCTTTGCTTGGAGCAGTACCAGATTCTGCTATTATCATTGTTTCTGGATTGAAACCAGATGCACAACAACAGTTATCTGTTGGTATGGGGTAAGTGACCGACAAATACTGTGCCTGCCTCGCCCCTTGAGTCCAATATACTATAATTACAGTAAATAAAATTTGTTGTTTTAGAACTCTTGCGGGCAGTACAATCATGTTATTAACAATTGCCTGGGGTGGCAGTTTGTTCCTGGGAAGATGTGATCTTGATGAAAGCGGGGAAGCTATTGAGGAGACTGGAGAAGGAATTAACTGTAGGAAACAGGTAATACAATAATATAGTGGATGGGTTTTTTGTTGATTGAATATTATAAAATAAAGTTTGATTGAAAATTCAGTAACATCAAGACAGGTAATTTGTGGAAAATATTTTTATATATAATGTCCGTGAAAATTTTTTTTATCTGTCTGGAGGTTTACTGTTCCTATAACCTGAGGGCTGGAGAATATACTGTACCTACAGTATAGCCATGCAAGTATAAAACCTCCAGCCAGCCCTCAGTGACTCCAATGCCGAGGAAGCCATTCACAAGTGTTGCATCAATTCATGTGGGAAATTAGTAATGATGTTCGACTGGTTTTAACATACGGAATCATGCCGATTATTTATTGTGACTTGGAACACTCAGTAATCAGTAATTTCCGATTGTTACATGATCAGACATTAGTCACATTATCACCAACAATCAACGTTGATCCATCGAGCCATGCAAATAATAATGCTTGGCATTATGGCTTGTCATTGTATGTGATTAATGTATTAATCTCAAAGTATATTTATGTTTGTCCTTTAGGGAGTTAGTCTCCTTGATTCTGTACAAAAATCAGCAATCATCATGCTCCTAACTTCACTACTATATCTGTAAGTTGCAATTAGTATTCGCTTCACGTGGCAGGGATTCCAGGGAAGGATGGTGTTAGTATTGTTTGGTTTTTTCTTGGTGCCTTTCAAACCCAACATGAAAATTTGCAGTGCAGCTTTGAGGCAGAAATGCACTCTTATTATATTCGAATCATAGTCTATCAAAATATGATAGTCTTCAGAAGCCGGGCATATATCAAAACCGCAAAATAGAAGACCTTTGTTTTTGATGTTGAACTGTACAGTACATCGCCATGCACATATCGTTTGTTTCTACTTCATTAAATATTATGATTGTGGTAGCACGTTTCACTTTGGCTTGTTCCTATTGGACAATTTAGACTTCATTATACGAAAATACAGTGAGCTCAATCACCATGCAGTTGTATGGAGGGCCTGACTTACAACCAAACCCAGCTGGTAAAACGACTCTCCCCTTGGCTTATTAATGGCAATAATGGCGAAATAGTCTGGTGTACCTGTACATGTACTTACAGTATATTATCACTTTCTTACAGCGTTGTTCAAAGTGCGGATTGGCATTGGGGTCCTAAGAAAAATCCTGAGCACGGTGATAAAACTCAACCAGAGTATGTGAAAAATTCTGCATTGGCCACCCTTATACTCTGTGCCATATCTTTTGTTGCCTACCTTGTCTTTTTGGTAAGTTCACTGAGTATTAGTTACTGTAGAACGCCGCGTTGAACATGTTACAGCAGCAATCTGAGTTACAGGGCTCATTTATATTTTATGTGCCTGCGAGAAAAATTCATGAATTCAAAATGTGCTTATCATTATTTTTGTGGGTTTTGAAGGCTAGAAGTGCCTGCGAGCATAGACAATCTACTAATCCAGTAGACTAGATTGGGTCTATGAAGTACTCGTGCGCTGGGTTTTTTTTTAAGATGTCTGCAGAGTTGGCTGATCGCAAGGCCGGATTTTGGTGGAAATAAGTGGGGGAGGTGGGAAAAAAATGAGGGGAGGTGCAGCGGTCTAGCTCACGACCCCCATGGAAAGTTAGGGCTTAGAACGGGTCAAAGTCACATAGTGTATGTACATATGTATCAATGTATTAATGAATTATGGCATTACAATTACTACAAAGTTTCTTTCAAAACATTGCATTGAAAGGGTACTTGACACAGAGAGGAATGATTTTCCAGAAAAACGTTCTTACGAAATGTAGACCCTAAGCAACCAAAAATGTCAAATTTTCACTTTGATCTATTATTGAAACTTTCCCAGGTGAGGTGCATGACCTTTCAGGGGAGGTGCAAAAATTCTTAGGGGAGGTGCAAATCGATCTCAGGGGAAGGTTGCACCTCCCCACACCTCCCCTCGAAATGTGACCATGGCTGATCGTGAGTCGAATCCAGCGTTATATATGGGAGGTACTGCATATAACTGAACATTATTTTGTTTGTGATTGCATAGTTGTACGACAACAAGACAGCTGAATTAAGAGCATTGAAACACCAACAAGAGGAGTAAGTTTGATGGTATTTTATTATGTGGACGAGCGCAATGGACGACTTGCGCTTTAGACTAAATTTTAATCTAAGTAAGAACAACGAAATATATCACCACAGCTAGAAAGAGCGTCTTGGAATTAGTAATATTACAAAGTTTGGTTGCGAAATGTTGTAAAATACGGAAAATATACTGTAGCCCTTCAAAGTTGGCAAATTTGTATACATTCCATTTCTATTACGTGCGGAAATTGGTAACTAATTTAGTTACCAATTCACGCACGTAATACAAAAGTATTTGCCAACTTCGCAGGGCTATATTTTCCGTATTTTACAACATTTCGCAACCAAACTTTGCAGTTTTTCTAATTTTGATAACTTCTTTCCAAAAATATCCTTTGTTATTCCCAGATTAAAAATTTTTCTAAAGCGCAAGTCGTCCATTCACAGAATCAGATTCACATATTTCTTACGGAAACGTTTAAACCCTTTTAAGTTTTTTATATTTTACAAATGAGTTAACAAGTGCACACTATTAAAAACACATCGGGGGCCTGTTCATGAATGTTCGTTTCCCCAATTCTAGGATTCGTCGCCGAGTCATTCATCGTTTCTATGGCATTGCAAATCGGAACATTTTTGGAGGCCCTCGTGACGCGACGGATGGCGACGCAGGAGAATCCGAAGATCCAGAAGCTCAGAAGCAAGCTGCCAGTAAGTACTTGATTGGCATGGCGTGCAACGTGGCGGCCAAATAAATTACTTGACCTTCGCAGGAAATTTTCTTGGCATCTTATGTACCAGAATGCCATTATTTAAAAATTCCAAAAGCATTTTGCAAGTCGAGATTGAAGCTGAGATTGAAATTGATGACATACTTAATGTGCGGCATCATATGTTCTCTGAAATACACATATGCAGGAAGTTTTATACTTGCACGAGAATTTTTTATCTGCATGCGCGTAGCGCTAGATACTATGTTGTCGAGTTGTGTAGGTGGACTAATTAGGGTTGTACGCCTGCGAACAGGCAGTAAAACAAATATGGCGGCTTTCTCGTAGTTACATGTACGCCAAGCGTACCTATTTTTCTGTTTGGATTTTGCTGTCAGGAAGAGAAATATAGTTTTTCTAGGTCTGCTCTGTACTATAGTTGCGTGTCTTTCATTTAGTTGGACTACAGAAGAAATACTTCAAAACCTGGCAGGTTGGCAAAGACATCAAGCCAAAAGAACCATCAGAAAAAGATCCTATCATTAACAAAGAAGCTGAAAACGAACTTGAAGAGGTATCGCATCTTTATGTTGTTACATTTTTGTTGTAGAGAATTTACTTTGAATTGATTACAGAGCTCAAAATAAAGACCGCTCATGACCGATCACATTTTGGCTCTGGGAACGAGATTGACTTTTGAGATGTTGTGGATCCTTTAAATATTATGTCAATTTGAAATTAAGGATTTTGTGGATATTGAACTTTTCGTGTATGAATCTTGCTGGTGTATCACCTAGATAATATCTAAATATCTACTAGACTTAGCTATAAAACGTGCTTTATATGTAATTAATGTACGGATGGTACGTTTTAGCAACCCTGCCGTGTTATTCACTTAGGTGGTCTAGCAATGTGAAGCACTGTTGAAGTAGTTTAGTTGATGATCTGGATTTTCTATCATTCTTTAGGCTGCCGAACAAGAGGAGAACAAAGTACTTACTGCAGTCAAATGTTCCTTTATGTTAGCTGGTGGTGTTGCCATGGTAAGTATAGACTCAGACTACCATTAACCAGGCTGATATGTTATTGTAGGCATCGCGACTTTAGATTCGGTGTGTGAGATTGTTAGTCTGTTAGTTTGTTCAGAATCATAAGCCTTTGTTGTTCAGGACTGCAAAAAAATATTTTATTTTCTGGGACCAAGCCAACGAAAACATTTTCTGCAAGTAAACGACAGTAAATCTTATCGCAACTAAATAAAATTCAGTGTATTCTGTAGACAAATTCTAGACCGATTTCGGTCTTGAAACTGGACCTTATTCCAACATTGGCTACGGAATAAATACTCTCTTATGTTATAAATTAGCCTTCTCATCTCTCCCTTGTGTATTTTTGTCTTTATAATCTACAGTATACTGTAGTAAACTCAGTAATATTGTCACTAAAATTAGTATAATACAGTAATTAATACTACTGCAGTATAATTATTTCCTTTAAGACATTTTACGGTTTTGCCTTCCACATTTTTTTTCAGCCAATCTCAAACATTTTCTGGGACCAATTGTCCCATGGTCCGCTACATTTATTTTGCAGCCCTGTTGTGGTTATGCAAAAATAATATGTCTTCGCGCATGTCGCCAACTCAACTTTTGCGCGTGCTCGAAGCAGGCCTCGAATTTCCCTGAAATCAAACAACGGCAATGGCATTAAAAATTGCCGTAGAACGTAACAGCTGTCTACGGCAATTTTGGCAGTTTCCACGGCATTTTTTCAAATTATTGTAACAAAAATTTAATTTTATTGTTAATATAGTAATTTAGTGAATAGTATAAAAATTATACTATACGGCAAAAAATTGCCGTCGTTTCCGCAATGATCCATGGCATTTTGTACTCCCTCTACGGCAATTGCCGCGATAAAATTCGAGCCCTGGCTCGAAGGCACCGCACTGTACTACTATGTATACGTAATTGTATACGTAACTGTATCTCCGGTTTTTCCGTAGGTGACGATATTCTCCGATCCCATGTGTGATGTTTTGAGCGGTATTACGGATCCAGCGAATGCCAAGAGTGGCGGCAGCTACATCGCTATTAGTCGTAAGTTTTAAACATTCTATGAATTAGCTGGAAGGTTTACAATATATAGACTCCCTGGTCGAACGAAGATGAACGAGCAACTATCGCTCGCGTTTGAACGCAAACTTTCGCCGACTCTGTTTGCTGTCTTCAATCTTGAGCTGGTTCAAATTTTAATGAGATTTGATGAAACTTTTTGCTACGAGCAGTAATATCTAGTCAGAGCAAGTGCCTTTCACCTGTGAGATTCTCTCGCTGCCCGCTCATGTCAAAAGAATCGGTCAATGCTCAAAAGTCGTGGGTTTTCTTTTGGACGCTCTGGTTTCCTCCCACAGGGAATGTTCATAGGGTGGGTTGAGATAAACACAGTTAAGAAAGTAATATCACAATTGTTGTAAAAAGATAAAATAGTCTAGGTTAAGCATGTAACAGGGTGCGATAATTCAATATTTTTAGCCGTACTGACTGGTACTCCAACAGTTTTTGCCGAGTACTTGAGCTGGTACGAACTTAAAAGTCAAGGTGTACCTACAGCAAGGCTACTTCCGAGTTTTGCGTTTTACACATACGTATATAATGCACGGTCATTGACGGAAAAAATTAAACCTTTCTGAATTTTATATATTTATTCAAACACTCATTAATAATTCATAAGCTTATTGGCAAATCATGTCGACTATAATATGTCACGTGCAGTGGCTTTAAACCTGATAAAACACTCCTAATTAGTATTCTTTATATAAAGAATACTAATAAGGCAGTATCTATTGTTGTCGTGTCCTCATTAGTATTTTTTATATAAAGAATACTAATAAGGCGGTATATCTATTGAATTTGTATAGTCGTGTTTGAAGCCGTTTAATAAACTCGCAGGTCGTGTTTTATTAGGTCTAAAGCCACTCGCGCAGCGCGCTCGTGTCTTTAAACCTAATAAAACACTCCTGCTCGTTTATTAAACAGTACATAAACACTTATAACAAAGTTATAACAACTTGTTTAATCCCAAAATATGTCGGATGTGTGGGATTTACATTGTACAGCTAAAGTTATTGACGGTTTTGAATACCTTGGAAGGTTTGCTAGTTATTGCTAGAAGGGAAATGTAAGTACGCGAATAGCAAATTCTCGTGTACCTACGTGGTACTCGGCTAAAAACAAAGAAGTATCAGACCGTAATTTTGGCGCACCTCTGGTACGTTGGTACGCAAATTATCGCACCCTGAATGTAATTATATGTGTAAGCGTAATAATTAGCTATTCCGAAGTTGATGAGAGGACTGGGGACGAGTGTTAAAAATTGCCCAAATTAACAAATGAACCAAATCACTAAAAAGACTACCTCAAAATTAGTAAGTATGCAAAGTTTGAAGATGTTTACATGAATACCCTTCGAAAAATAAGCTTTCGAAAATAGTGAAATTACTGATTAAAAGATTGTTTTTGGGACACGCGTCCCAAAAACTGAAAAATTACCGTACATTTCATAGTAAATATCGCGATTTTCGAAAGCTTATTATTCGAAGGGTATTCATGTAAACGTCTTCAAACTTTGCATACTTACTAATTTTGAGGTGGTCTTTTCAGTGATTTGGTTCATTTATTAATTCGGGCAATTTTTAACATTCGTCCCCAGTCCTCTCATCAACTTCGGAATGGCTAATTGTGTAAAGCACATTTGATCATGTACGCACATGTAAATTTACGCTATAGCAGTGTTAAATCTTAAAATTGAAATATCCCAAACTCGTGTCTTTGGGAAATTTGATCAACTCTCCTATACAGCACGAATTTTTACCCTCTTCCAGCGTTCTACGTGTCCTTTGTTGTTACACCGATATGCTCGAATGCCTCGGAGCTTGTCTCGTCTCTTCTCTTTGCCGCTAAGAAGAAGAAGGAAAACGTCTCCATGACATTCTCTCAGGTGAGAAATTTTATTGCTGGAAACTCGCAGTTGTTGTACTCTAGTTCTATTTCCACTGAACCGTTTGCTTAGCATTACACACGATGACAATGATTAATAACTCCAAAATAGTTTTTGTGTGTGTTGTGTTATGTACTCAAGAGAATATATGTTTGTGGTGTTACTCTGAGTTTGCCTGACCACGGTGGGAATCGAACCCGCGACCTTTGGGATACTAGTCCAATCAATGCTCTACCAACTGAGCTACAGGTGCGAGGTCAAGTCAGTTCGAGTTGGTGATATTTCGGAACTGAGTCTAGTTTCTTCTATATCAATGTACCTGTATTGATATGATAGTTTTTGTGTGTGTGTCGTGTACTCAGGTGAATATGATGTTTGTGGTGTTATTTTGAGTGTGCAAAATAAAATAATTTTGTTTTTAGTTGTACGGAGCAGCCACGATGAACAACACTCTGTGTTTGGGCATTTTCTGTGCACTGGTCTACTTTAAGAACCTGGAGTGGTATTATTCTGCAGGTGGGCTATACTTTCAGTACTCGATGAATATTATTTGCCTTAACAATTATTGAATGAAGTTGAGCGTGCTATTGAAGAATGGGGTTGATAACACAAGCTGAGGGCTTCATAATTCTTCATATCTTGCGAAAACAGAATTCATTAATTGTTTATTAACATTATGACATCACTCCGTTGGATATGATTTTTCATATCAACGTTATGATGTCACTTCGTTGAACATCATGTTAAAACTCCATATTTGGTCTAAACTCCATATTTGGACAGCTGTTGTGTTGATATGACTATTTCATAGTTGGCTGTTAGCCAATCAGAGACCATGAACCTTTTTAAAAAATACATATTGATCGCAATATGAATATGATCAATTTCTTCATTGCAGAGGTGACGGTGATCTTGCTTGTGGAATGGTTTGTGTTTATCATGGGTTACCCATTGACCTATAAGGTATTTATTAAACATACGTTTTAGATTTTAACTTTGTAGATAGTTTTTAGATCAATTATAGATACTGTAACTATGAACATTACATATAGATTTTAGACTACATATAACTATTATATAAATTTTAAAAAGTGCGACTAACCATTAGGTATGTGTAATAGTTGGGTCATTCGAAGAAGAAATGTAATATATCTTTATAATAAAAAATCCCATCTTGATCGACTTGTTCACTGTCAAAGTTTCCGGATATGATATCATTAGAGGAATTGCAAATTAATTTTCCTTTGTTTTTTTGTACCACAAAAATTCACCTAACGACATCATACCTAAAACTTTGACAATGAAAAATTTGATCAAGATGAGGTTTTTTACATATAAAGATACATTACATTTCTTCTCAGAATGACCCAAATATTACACATACCGAAAATTATATTTGAGATTAGTCGCACTTTAAGACTCGTTTATAGGATAGATTTCTTCAAAATTAATAATATACAGTTCTTATTATATTATCTTTATGTCATTTTGATATTTACCTCCGCCAGGAGGTTATGTAATCATCTGGGTTTGTATGTGTGTGTGTGTGTATGTGTGTGTGTATGTGTGTGTGTATGTGTGTGTGTGTGTATGTGTGTGTGTTTGTCTGTGAGCACGATAACTCAAGAAATACCAAACATATCCGTACGAAATTTTTTGAATGCATTTCCCATCGGCTAAGGAAGAACTGATTAAAATTTGGTTGAATTTGGTTAAAAATTGAACGAGAAATGAACAAAATTTTGTCTTGCTTTTTCCGGTCAATTAACAAAAAATATTACTGAATGCGTAATTAGGACATGTATAATTTATGCACTCAGTGCTAAGACAATAATGAGATGATAAACCTCATTAAGCTTCGGCCTTCATTATCTATTGTCTTAGTTGCATTTCACGCGATCGAAATTCAATGTCTAAAACAAGGCTTACGGAGTTACGCATTATTACGTTCAGCAAAGTGCCAGTCCATTCAAATTCTAACAACATTAGATTACTTCAATACAGGGTGTATAAAAGGAACGCAACCTCGGAATTTCCCAAGAAATCGACATTGTTTTAAAGACAAAAGATTTTAGCTGCCTGGGAATTTAAAATAGCACAACTGTGAAAATTACTGCACGCGCGAGTGCATAAAGCAAAATTTGTGCATTTATTTAATGACACTTAAAAAGTTTTTATTTTACAAGTACTGTACAGTAGAGTACAACAACAGTAATATGTTCTATTAGCAATTCGATTTCAATTCGCGGGGGCCTGAAATCTTTTATGCTTAAGAATTATAAAGTGGATTTCTTAGGAAATTCCAAGGTTGCGTTTCACTTCCGAGTAACGGGCGGAGGTATGCAGTCTCTGAGTGCCCTCTAGTTTTATATATGTTTTGTTTCCCCTTTAGTTATGGAAACTCGTTCCAGTCGCATTCTGCTACATATTTTCCATTATCCTGGTCGCCATCTTGGAAAGCAGTGCAATTGGATGGAAATAAACCATCACTTGTGTAGATTTTTACAATTGGAACGGTAACTATAGTGATCGATTTTAGTTCACAACATGCAATAACATCAACAACAATAACAACAACAATAATAATTTATTTGTACCTTAATACAATAATTTACATGGTATAATTACAATTATTAAAATAATATAAATGATAGGCAGAGGCTTCGAGAAATAACCTTAAGAGGCTAAAAATGCTACGGAGCCCACTTTGCAGAATTTTGATATTCCGATAATTTTAAGGTCGAAGACTCTATGTATCAAGGTGCAAACACATGCATAGGGGTAACATTCAAATCACAACCTATAACAAGAACGGTTTGAATACAACAAAACACACACAGAGTGCAGCACACCGATCTACTGTACATTATCATGCAATTTTTAAAGGTTAAAGCAATCGCGAGCATATAGTATACCACCATGCAGTAACTTCTAAAGTATACTATTAACCGCAAACATTTTTTTGTGTGTATAAATGTAATATTTTAGTCATTGATGTCATCAGATGAATTGCAAATTTTTAATAATTTTCCGCGGTTTTCTGATGACATACATAACATAACATAACATAACATAAATTTATTCTTATAGGCCACATATGAGAGTTGAGAGGTTAAACTTACATATAACAACTTTCAAAGGAAAATTCTAACATAAATATAGCACTACAGTAGTTCCTACAATTTTAGTAATAAATATAATATTTATATATATATATACATATTAAATAGTTAAGTGTTGTTTCAAATGGTTTTTGAACTTAGGTGTTGTTTCAAACGGTTTCTTTAATATTTAAGTGTTGTTTCAAACAGTTTTTAAACACATTAATGCTATCGGATTCTACGATACTACTTGGTAAATTGTTCCAAAGTCGTATAATTCTAACAAAGAAAGATATTGTAATGTCTATTTCATACCCATTTACAGATTCTTTTGACAGACCCTGATCCTGCCAAGGGTTAGGCCACTACAAGTTAATCTTTAGTTTCTGGTCCACCGCCCGCGTCCTTTGTCCGTAAAGTATTATTTCAGGACTATTTTGTTATTTACAATTAATTTCTAGTTCTTGAAAATTTTAGTGAAGGATTTAACTTATAGAACGATAAATATTCAATTTACACTAAAAAGACCTATAGCACAATGTAGTATTGAATGGTAAAAACCGCTGTCTTATCGTTATTACGAGGTAAAAAAAACTAGAAATATTAATAGATCATTTTGATATGTAAAATCCTTTATAATCTGTCATACATGTCGATTTATAAATAATATAAATGCAATTTATGTAAAATTTCATAACATTTTGATACAACTGGCATGAAAAGGGACAAGAAAGACCACAAAAATGTGGGCAAAGCCACAATTGTAATGTGTCCTATAGTCCTAACCACCCGCCTGCCCGCGTCGTAAACGAAGGTAAGGCCGGACCAGAAACTAAAGATTAACTTGTAGTGCATGGCCTTATGCATACGGAAAAAAAATGTTACTTATGATTGGCTCTTGAATGAATTACAGTTCTTCTTATGATTTGCCCAGCATAATTATTGAAATAGAGCCATGCACAAATATATGTAAAAGTGACGTAACTCGGTCTCAGGACACCTTCGCTGAGTAACAGTAAAATTACACATAAAGCGAGGAAATGTGTGTAGGGGGAATTAGATCGGAATGTCTGTGGTATGAACAGTAATCAGTATATACAATTGCATAGTTCAGTACCCTGAATTGATCTTCGGTGAAAAATAATGTAATTTTATCTTTTATTTTTTTTTTTAGATTTTGTCCTCGATGAACTACAGCACTTAAGTTTTTTATTAATGTTTTTGAATGTGATCCACGAAGATTTGTGAGGAAAAGAAGTTGGCCTGATACTCGGGTTGCAAGCCGTGTGAGCCATAATGCACTGATCAGACCAGACAATGAAACTGATCTTTTATTCCAATATAGGCCTATATGTAATATCGCCCATACATTTTATACAAACAGTCCCCACTACGATCTTTCTATAACGTGAATTTATTTGGAATTTGGCGTACTAAGCTCAATATATGCCATGAAGAATTTAAAGACCATGTCAAGTCCGTTCTGCGCATCAGTTCTGCTCATAACAAAGGGAGATCCACAGATATAAACATTGCCCAAATTTTGCATCTTTCGAACTTTTTTGAATTGAAACGTACTCTAGTTTATATTCAAAAGCGGACCAGAAAAGTGTTCGATATTCATGCAGTTAGTATGTCTTATTTTACAAATATAGCAGTTCAAAATGTAAACAAAGGATTTGTTTACATTACGGACTTGACATGGTCTTTAAGCTTAATTTATCTTTGTAATCTTTTTATCGAAGACCATTTATACCATACTGTTGTGTAAATTCGAAGAATATACTAATGTTTTTGTGTCTACTGTATATATATATATTACTGTTGTGTAAATTCGAAGAATATACTAATGTTTTTGTGTCTACTGTATATATATATATATATATATATGTATATGTATATGTATATGTATATGTATATGTATATGTATATGTATATGTATATGTATATATATGTATATATATGTATATATATGTATATATGATATTTTTGTAAAAGTTTGTAACTGATCTATTAAAAATCTTCAATAAAAACATACTAAATTTTCGGCTGCCAACTGCAGCCTACTTCAGGAAAAATACTCTGAAGAAGGCTGCAGCTGGCAGCCGAAAATTTAGTATGTTTTTATTGAAGATTTTTAATAGATCAGTTACAAACTTTTACAAAAATATCATGTTATCCACTGATCGCCCTAACAGTATATGTATATATGTATATATGTATATATATGTATATATGTATATTAGTATAGTATAGTATAGTATACTACGTATCTACCTAATGTAGTAAGAGCGCAAAAAAAATAAGGGCTAACCATTGAACTATGTATAAGTTTACTTATAGTTCAATGGGGCTAAAAGTAAAGACTTTTCCTCCAATAATTGTTTTACCCCACAGGGGTACAAATTTTCGTTTATCCCATACGGGTAAAAAAAAGGCAAAAAAGTAACGACTAACCCTTAATATTTCGTCCATCCGGGTAAAAAAGACTTTCCATTTTTCATAAATGAGAAAAAAAACAGCAAAAAAGTAAGGCTATAGCCTTTACTTTTCGTCCATTTTTAGCGACTTTTTCCATTTTTCACAAATGGGCAAAAAACAGCAAAAAAAGTAAGGCTATATAGCCTGTACTTTTCGTCCATTTTTAGCGACTTTTTTCATTTTTCATCAATGGGCAAAAAAACAGCAAAAACGGAATGCTATGTATATAGCCTTTACTTTTCGTCCAATTTTAGCGACCTTTTCCATTTTTCATAAATGGGGAAAACACAGCAAAAAAGTATAGCCTTAACTTTTCGTCCATTTTTAGCGACTTTTCCCATTTTTCATAAATGAGCAAAGGCTAGCCTTTACTTTTCCTCCGCCAGGAGCCTTGTCCTCACCGCGAGGAACCTTGTCCTCACTGCCAATAACATTGTCCTCACCGCCAGGAACCTTGTCCTCACCGCCAGGAACCTTGTCCTCACCGCCAAGAACCTTGTCCTCACCGCCAGGAACCTTGTCCTCACCTCCAGGAACCTTGTCCTCACCGCCAGGAACCTTGTCCTCGCCGCCAGGAACCTTGTCCTCACCGCCAGGAACCTTCTCCTCACCGTC